GGAACATGAGGGATTGGATTGGTTGAGTTGGGAGTCGGATGAAGAAGGAGAGTAATGAAAGTGATATCTTGATAGAGGGGGCAATTTGGGGCTTAGGGAGAAAGCTGGTGCCAGGGAGACCCCCAAGGAATCCTCAAGGATGACCGTAGCTAAGACTCATAGCAATCGTAGAGAGAGAGAGAGAGAGAGAGAGAGAGAGAGAGAGAGAGAGAGAGACTGAATTGGTCTTCTCCTGTAATCAGATTGGTGACTACCCTAATTGTCAACAGAGAACCTTCATCTAGTAACTGATGGAAACTGATCCAGAGATCCACAGCCAAGCCCTGGCCGAATTCAGGGAGTACAAATGATGAGAGGGAGAAGGGACCGCACAAGCAAGGGCAGTCAAGATCATGACGGAGAAATCCATAGACACAGATGACCTGAGCTAAGGGGAGCTCACGACCCTGGACCAACAGCTTGGGAGCTTGCATGGGACTGACCTAGGTCCTCTGCGTATAGATGATAATTGTGTAGCTTGGTCTGTTTGTGGGGCCCCTAACAATGGGAGCAGGATCTGTCTCTGGTGCAAGAGCTGGCTTTTTGGAACCCATTCCCCATGCAAGGATGCCTCACCTAACCTTGAAGCAGGGGGAGGAGTTTGGTCCTGCCTCTGCATGATATGACATGCTTTGTTAACTCACATGGAGGCCTGTCCTTTTTTGAACAGAAAAGGAGTGTATGGGGGCGGGGCAGAATAGACAGGACGTGGGGGAAGGGAACCAGAAGAAAAGAAGGAGGGGAAAATGGTTAGTATGTAAAATAAATGGAAAAATTTAATAAAAAATCATTATGCAAGAGAAATCAAAAGGATTGGACAAACAGCCACTGAAGAACAGAAAACAGACTGGGTTGGAAAACCATTAAGGGACTCTCTAGGGAGAGAATTAAAGTGTAAGAAAAAGGAACAGTGGAAAATTGGGTACCTAAAATTAGAGAGAGCACAGAAAGTGAGCCAACCCAAGAGAAAAGATACCATTTGGATATAGCCACTTGCAGTAAGTTGACCCCGGAGAGAGAAGAAAAAAACACGGACAGGTGGTGGAATAGGACTGTGATTCATAAGATAATGGAGAGGCTCATAAGCACCCCTTAATTTTTCAAAGCCAACTGCCTGCCTAGAGAGATGGCACCATGGGTAAAATGGCTGCAGCTGTAAGGGCCAATGTTGGAATCTCCAGAATCCACCCAGTAAGATAGCTAGCACACATATGTCATTCCAATGTGTCTATTGCAGAGTGGGAGGCAGACACAGAAAAATCCCTGGAGGCTCACAAGGCAGCTAGCCTGGTGTAGTGGTTTGAATAAAAATTACCTCTGTAAGTTCATATATTTGAATGTTTGGTTTCTAGTTGGATCATTTGGAAGTATATTCGGATTTGTAGCCTTGTTGGAGGAGGTGTGCCACTGGGTTCGAGGTTTCAAAAGCCTGTGCCAGGCCCAGTTTCTCTCACTCTCTACCGAGTGTTTGTGGATAATAGGGAAGCTCTCGATGACTATAGCAACACTATGCCTGCCCGCTGCTGTGCTCCCACCATGATGGTCATGGACTAATCCTCTGACACAGTAAGTAAGCCCCCAATTAAATGCTTTATTTTAGAAATTGTTTTGGTCATGGTGTCTCTTCACAGTAATAGAACAGTAACTAAAGTACCCTGGACCAGCCACACTGAACCTTATAGAAGAGAAAGCGGAAAGTACATTTGAATGCATTGGCACAGGGAACCACTTCCCAAATATAACCCCAGCAGCACAGACAATGAGAGAAACAATTAATCAATGGAACCTCCTGAAACTGAAACGCTTCTGTAAAGCAAAGGACATGGTCAACAAGACAAAATGACAGCCTACAGAATGGGAAAAGATCTTCACTAACCCCACATCAGACAGAGGTCTGATCTCCAAAATATACAAAGAACTCAAGAAATTGGACACCAAAAGATCACATAATCCAATAAAAAAAAATGGAGTACAGCCCAAAACAGAGAACTCTCAACAGAGGAATCTAAAATGGCTGAAAGACGCTTAAGGAAATGTTCCATATCCTTAGTCTTCAGAGAAATGCAAACCAAAACAACTCTGAGATTCCAACTTACACCTGTAAGAATGGCCAAGATCAAAAACACTGATGACAACTTATGCTGGAGAGGTTGTGAGGTAAAGGGAACACTTCTGCATTGCTGGTGGGAATGCAAGCTGGCACAACCCCTTTGGATGTCACTGTGGCGATTTCTCAGAAAATTAGGAAACAACCTTCCTCAAGACCCAATAATACCACTTTTGGGTATATATCCAAAGGATGCTCTATCGTGCCACAAGGACATGTATTCAACTATGTTCATAGCAGCATTGTTTGTCATAGCCAGAACCTGGAAACAACCTAAATGTCCCTCGACCAAAGAAAGGATAAGGAAAATGTGGTACATTTACACAATGAAGTGTTACACAGCAGAAAAAAAATTACAGCATCTTGAATTTTGCAGGAAAATGGATGGAACTAGAAAACATTACTTTGAGTGAGGTAACCCAGATACAGAAAGACAGTTATTATATGTACTCACTCATAAGTGGTTTTTAAACATAAAGCAAAGAAAAGCACCCTAGAAATCACCATCCAAGAGAACCTAGGAAACAATGAGAACCCTAAGAGAGACGTACATACATATAATCTACATGGAGAGGAGAAAATATAAAAAGACAAGATCTCCTGAGTAAATTGGGAGCATGAGGACCTTGGGGGAGGGTTGAAGCAGGGAGGGGAGAGATAAGGAGGGGAGCAGAGAAAAATATAGAGCTCAATAAATATTATGGAAAAAAACAAATAAACAAAACAAAAAAGTATCCTGGAATATGCAGCAATGAACAATGAAAGACCCTGTCACAAAAGAGGTGAAAGATGAAGATGGACATTCCAGCTGTCAGGGACAAAAAAAGTTTACTGGGGTTCCAATACCCCACTTGAATTTATCCCGTCATCACCAACATCCTGTAGCCTCCATTGCAACTTGGGCTTCACCATCATAACTTTATGCAATAGACTCTCAGAGCCTCCAAACAGAAAATCTAACCCTGCTATACCTTGCCCGGCCTCAGCAGCTTTCTTGAGTCTTGGTTCAGACCTCCAGGATCCTTGCTCTTGAATCTTTCTTTCCAAAAACAACAAACAAAACCACTACCTTATGGACAAGGCTGTCCAGTTGTGCTCTTAGCTCAAGATGTAGCCTGCTGCCTTTGGACCATGCTGATGAGCCTCTGTGTGCTGACCCAGAGGGAAGAAACCATGTGTCCTTTCAGATAAATAAATAGAGAAAATACCTTCAAACAACTTTCCTTACACTGATGCCAACTCAGAAGAAACAGAAAAGTAAAGGCCCCTATCCTTGGTGAACATAAATGCAATCCTCCCCAACAAAATAAAAACTCAACAATGCATCAAAAGAATCATCCACTATAACGACTCATTTGGATTTTCTACATGGCTGGAATTTTATAGTAACCATGGAAACATGCCTTTGGATGTGTGTTTACAAGCGTATTTCCGGAAGGGTTTAATTAGGAAGGAAGTCCCACTCTGAATGCGTGTGGCACCTTCAGATGGGCTGGGGTTTTGGACTGAATAAAAAGACAGTGAGCGGCTCACCAGCGTTCATCCTTCTCTGCTTCCTGATTGTGGACACAGTGTGGGCTAGCAGTCTCACATTCCTGCTACCACAACTAGAACTGCTTTACCACAAAGTTTTTTACATTCTGATGGACTATTCCTCCAACCAGGAACCAAAAAGAAACTTTACTTTCCTTAACTAGCTTTGGTTGAGTATTTAACACAACAATGAAAAAAAAAGTCATCCAACAGTTGGTACCAAGAAGTGGGGCCACTGTTGGGACTAACTGACTATGTAATTGGAAAGCCTTTGGAAGTGGCTTGAGATGAGAATTTGGAAGCAGGGCCATCATAATCTGCATTGCTCTCAGTAACACTGTCTTCCACCCACCTACTAATATGGCCCATTCATTTATCCAATAATATTAAGATCTAGTAATAAGCCAGGCACTGGGAAGTTGCCTGGGGTGTCCTAGTTTACTTTCTATTGCAGTGATACACACAGCTAAAAGCAACTTGGGGGAGGAAAGGGTTTATTTCATACCGCTTACTTTATAAAAGCAAGTCAGGGCAGGAACTCGAGACAGGGACCTAGAGGCAGGAACCGAAGCAGGGCCACGGAGGAACCCAGTTTGTTTTCTGTGGCTCACTCAGTTTGTTTTTTTATACAACCCAGGATCACCTTCTCAAAGGTGGTGCTGTCCGTAGTGGGCATTAATCAAGAAAATGCGCCCTCCACTTGCCTACACGTCAATCTCTTTTTTATTTTTATTTACTTTTATTTATTTTTTTTTCTGAGACAGGGTTTCTCTATGTAGCTTTGGAGCCTCTCCTGGAACTTGTTCTGTAGCCCAGGCTGGCCTCGAACTTACAGAGATTTGCTTGTCTCTGCCTCTCGAGTGCTGGGATGAAAGTTGTGCGCCACCCCCCGCCCGGCTGAGAGATCATTTTTTAATTGAATATAATGTGTGCACACATGCTTGCATGGTTATATATAAAGCACTTATGCTTGATAGAGATTAAATAAAGATTGAGGATAATGTAAGGCTCACGGAACATGAAACATTTTCACAAGTTTTGTATTGGATATATGTTTGAAGGGAAAACTGTTTTAAGGTGACTTTGTATATCCTAGAGCAGAGAACATGTAAATATATATTTCACTTAATTGGTGACCCCAACGCGCGAGTCTTTAATTTTTGCAGGTAGTAGTAAAAATAAATTTTACTTTGCATGCGGACAGGAAAGAGAGCAGTCTCGCTGTCCCACCCACAATCTCCTGGGCAACACAACTACGTTGCCTATAAAGCTCCGCGTGGCGCGAAGCATCCTGGGAAATGTAGTCCGCGTACGGAAAAAAAAATCACTTTCCAGAGACCCGCCCTCGCCGGCATGGCGGTACCCGTTCGGAGCGAGTTCGTTTACTCTGTGCTGTGGCCGGGGCGGGGGTCTGGGCTATAGGCAGTAAGTGGGGCTGGGGGGACGGGGACGCAGGGAGGGACGAGGGTAGCGTAGGGACGACGCCGACGGCCTGAGGCAAGACGCCCGGCCTCTCTTGGCGGCGCGTCAGGGGTCGGGCCGCGGGGACGCGCGCCTAGTCGCGCTCTTGGGCCCTGGACGTCTTGGTGGGCGGGAAGGCCTCGGTGGAATGGCCTGACGGGAATCCAGCTCGCGAACTCGAGGACTGACTCGCGAGTTCCGGTTCTTGAGTTTTACTTCAGAGGACTGTGTTGAAAAGAGAAAGAACTGCATTTCGGCCCGTCCTGCCCCTTAGAAAGTGTCCTCAGAGTTTCACCTCAATTTCCCTGCCACCACACGAGAAACAGAGCAGGTTCCCGCAGCTCCCCACTGGACTCCATAGCTCTAATGGCCAGAGTCTGTCTTCCTTCAGGCACTACTCACTGCAGGCTCTATGGTTTGGGACCAAAGTGCTGCAACTTACTATCAAGAAGATTAATGTGATAGGCTTAATTCACTGAAACTCTGTGGGCCGGTACAGGATATGACGAGATGGAAGAAGCTGAGATTTCAGAATTATTGATGATCCTAAGGCTGCTGTCAACTCTCAGTTTTCTCATTTAGTGGTGTGGAATCCAAGAACAGTTACCGGTTCCTGTAGGCCATGCCCTTTGTATTTAGTACCTTTGTTTTGTCGTGTGACTGGTTAAACTACCCTAAAAAACATGTTCAGCCACATTTTACATAGAAGTAAATATTGTTTAAATTACTTATTCAGGATCACACAGGTTTATTAGGATCCCTGTAGGTATGAAAGAGAAGTCAGTCTCCAAAACCCAAACTACTGTATTTTCTGAAGAACAATTTTACGAAACAACTCCTCTCAAATACAAGGATGATTTCGGGGTGGGGATTCAAGAATAAAAGCATTTATGTAACATGTCATTTTCTTTAAAGGATAGTTTTTGGTTCCACAATGTTTGGGAACCTGTTTGAAGAGGATTATTCCAGTGTGTCAAATAGTCAGTATGGAAAAGGGAAGAAATTAAAGACTAAAGGTTTGGAGCCACCAGCCCCTAGAGAATTCACCAATTTAAGTGGAATCAGAAATCAGGGTGGAACCTGTTACCTCAATTCCCTTCTTCAGACTCTTCATTTCACACCTGAATTCAGAGGTATGCTATGTTACATGCATTCGTGTACTATGGACCATGGGTTTTATATATAATTAATTATGTAAAAAACATAAAAGAGAAAGCATTTTAAAGGTGTACTCAACAGAATGTGTTTATTGTCACAAAGTATGATGTGCATTGGCAGTTCTCTGAAGAAAATTGTGAAGCTTAAATTTAAAAATCTAGTCTGTGTGGTGATTGTAGTGTTTTGTAACAAAAAATAATAAGAGAAAGTATTTCTAATTCCCATAATTTAAAATACAACATAACGATAATTCTCTCCTTGCTCCAAAGTAACAAACCCTTAAATCAAGGCTACTCAGAAAGCCTTGGCTTCTTCAGTGGGAAGATTTGTCACATTATTTATACACATTCGTACTTAAGTATCTGCATTTCTGAAGTTCAGAGAGCTCTGATTCTGAGCAGATCTGTCCTGAACTTGTTTGGCCTCAGAACCTGACCTGGGGGAAGCTTCTTGGGAGTTTTAGTTCTCTCAGGAGGGTGACTATTCATATATTCATTAATCTAATTACCCAGACTTGGTAGGAATGAAAAATAACGTACAAATTCCTCCTTCATCATTCTAAAATCTGGAAATTATGAATTTCAAAGACCCAAAAGAAATGTAAACCCACTCAGATTAGCTGTATCAAATGGGTGTGGAGAGTTACGGTAATGATAAGACCATTTCTCCAGAAGCCCGGGGCTGAAAGCCAACCAGTCTGCACGAAAACCTCCTTTCTTGCCCTTGGTTCTCAATGTGTTTGTTCCACTTCCATCTCTGTACTCCAGCTTCCTTCAGTGGGGTCTTAGCGTCTGTTCTTGACTCCAGCATGAGCCCTCTTTGGCCTCTGCATCATTCTCAGTGGGGAACCCAATGTACATGAATATGTAGCTCACTTCTCCACAGGTACTCTCTGTTCTGAGGACAAGCTGGTTTGGCCTGTGCTTGAATACCAAGTCCCCACTACCACCTAGTGTATCAGGTCTTCTGTCAGGTTTCCTGTTACTCTAAACTCAGAAAGGCTTCTTTCTCCTGAAATCTAGGAACTAGCTCCTGTTATCCATGTCTAGTGGGCCGCTCTCATGGAGTGAGCTGACAAATTTCAGAGTGGTGTCTTGTGTTCCTGACTTCAGCCTCTACATAAAGTTGCCTCTCAGTAGTCAGTAATTCTACTCTTAGAAGTTTTCAGCAATACTAAATAGATAACTCAGGCATAAAGATCTTCCAGGCTTTAATATGGTTAAAGGTAAAAGGCACTTGAAGCAAAAAATAGCCTTAAGAACAGACTGAGAACACTTGGGAGGTGGAGGCAAGAGGAGGATCAGAAGTTCAAGGCCACATGAGACACTCTCGAAACACAATGAAGATAAAGAAACTAAATAGGCAGCTATATGGCATGCACTTGTAATCCCAACACTCAGGAGGTTAAGGCAGGAAGATTAAAAGTTTAAGATTGGTCTGGGCTATATAGTGAGACTTTTTCAAAAACCCAAGGAAAAAAAGAGAGAAAGAAGGCGAGTGACAGGACAGATCGTGGAGAATACCCAGAACCTGAAAGCTGCAGGCCAGCTTCCTCTTACCTGTTCAAGCGTGTAGTTTGACATTATAGTGCATACACTGTGCACTCTGCATGGCTTAGCCTGACCTTGCTGTTGCAGGGTAGGGTGGGTTATAGTTTGGAAAGGCTAACAAAGTACTGACAGGAAAAAAGGGACTTATATGTGTATATGTCTTTTGGGGGAGTAGCATTTTAAAGTAAAGCTAAAGTGAATTCCATTATATTGCCAGAACATTGCAGTGAGGAATAATGGGAGATTATCCTAAAAGCCCTGGAGTGGTTTTGTTCTTTAAACCATAGGCTTTTAGTTTATTTTTCCCAGTCCCAGCACTTAATGAGAAACAAAACATTCTTAAGAGTAATCACTAGGGCATCAGTGTTTATCAAAAAAAAACCAAAAAATTTGGAGGCCAGTGCAGGGGCTGACAACTTCCTTTTTCAAGTAAGATCACTACCATCTCTTATTACTGGAATTGTAGAAAAGACATTTACACACCAAAAAGCAAGGGACAGGAACTCAAGGTAAAAGACATCCAGTCTGGTCCTTGACATGCAAGGTTGATTAGCAGCCTCGCGTGTGAAAATACACACCTGTGATGTTTTTCTGTTTTGTGAGACGACTCATAACTTTTGAGTTCTGTTGCCAAAGACAGGGAAAACCAATCATTTTTGGTTTGTTTATTTTATGTTTATAGCAGTTTTGTTTATTTGGAACAGCTACATCCTCTTAGTCTTTGGATTTTTAAAGCCAGAGCTTATTATATAGACCAAGTAGGCCTTGAACTCAAGGTCCTCCTGCCTCTGCCCCAGGTATTCTATGATGGAGGAAGGTCATCTGTCTATGTGTTACTCTCATTGCTTAATTAATAAAGAAACTGCTTGGCCTGATAGGTCAGAATATAGGCAGGCGGGGAAGACAGAACAGAATGCTGGAAGAAGGCAGTGAGGCAGACGCCATGGCTCTCCTCTCTGAGACAGACGCAGGTTAGAATCTTTCCCGGTAAGCCACCACCTCGTGGTGCTACACAGATTACTAAATATGGGTTAAAGCAAGATGTGAGAATTAGCCAATAAGAGGCTGAAACTAATGGACCAGGCAGTGTTTAAAAGAATACAGTTTCCATGTAATTATTTCGGGGGTAAGCTAGCCGGGAGCCAGGCGGGAACGCAGCCCGTCGCTCCTTTTACTACAATTCTAGGATTAAATGATGTCCCATAGTGCTTTGCCTGCTTATATTTTATGTTCTATGGATCTGTCATACTGAAGTGTCACTTGATGATTATTTACTAGTAGTACATCACTTAATGTTCTTAGATTCAGTAGACAACAATGTTAAAAAATGCAAAATGTGTAGATGAAAGGTATAAATATTGTCTTAGTCATTTCTAAATTGTTTGCTAATATTGCTTAATGGAGGTCTTGCGTCCTAAACAATTTTCTAAGATGAAATCATACCATTTACATATCTGACTCTACTTTTTTGTTTAGAAGCTTTATTTTCTCTTGGTCCGGAAGAGCTTGGTTCTTTAGAGGATAAGGATAAGCCTAATGCAAAGGTACTAAATCTATAATTTATTGGGTCTTTTAGAGTATTCAAGAAATGGTGGGAGGAGTTGCATGTGTATATGTGTGTTGTGTGCATTCCTTTACATATGCATGTTTGCTTGTGTAGGAATGTGCATGTGAGCTGAGCGTACATGTGTGTATACGTAGAGGCCAGAGGTTGACATCCCCCATCACTCTTGACCTTATTCATTGAGGTGGGGAGTCTCACTTATACTGTTTCAGCTAATTTACCTAGTCCACTTGTCCCAGTGACCCCATCCTGCCTTCTGAGAGCAGAGATTAAGGCTGGTCATCACACACCAGCCTGCCTTTACATGGGGATTTGAACTCCAGTGTTCATTCTTGTGTGGCAAACACATTACCCTTTGCAGCATCTCTCTAGCCCTGGAAATGGCAATTAAGGAAGGAATTAAGTTCCTTATTCATAGAAAACAAAGTTATTTATTACAAATATTATCTTTATTGGCAGAAAGTGACTTGCCTCATACTTAATTAGCAATAAAATTTTCCTTCGAAAAAGAGTGGTTTTTCACCGGGAAGTGGTATTGCATAGCTTTAATGCCAGCACTTGGGAGGCAAAGGCAGGTGGATCTCTGAGTTCTATGTCTGCCTGGTCTACAAGGTGAGTTCCAAGGCAGCTAAGGCTGTTACACAGAGAAACCCTGTCTCAAAAACAGCAACAACAACAACAACAACAAAAAGTCTTTCAAAATGTCATGCTGCAGTTGGCTGCTATTGCAAACATGTCTTGCTTTGGTGTGCTTCTTTTCAAGGCAGAGAAGCTCGGAAATTATCCATGCTAGCCAACCAGAACATCCATTTATTATACTTATTTGTAGTAATCCATTGGGGAAACCCTAGAGACCAGCATTTTCTCACTTTAGTGTTCTGGAAATACATTAAGGAAAAATTAGGACATTGTTTTGTATATTGTTTTGGTGAAGTTGTTTAAAGCACAGCTCTAATCATGTTCTTCCTGCTGGAACCTCGTTCAGAAGCCTCTCCACTCACACAGGCTCAGGTTCGTGTAACTGGTTTTTTGTGATGCAGTTCCATTCTTCAAAAACAGCTTTGTGGCAAGAAATGACTTTAGTGCAGATCAGTTTCTTTCCAATCTGTTGCACAGCAATGCTTTTGTAGTATATATTTTTAATATTATGGAAATACAGAATTGTCACAGGTCTTCCTAAATGCTTACTCTCCCTTTGAATCTTTAAAGTTGGCCTGCACGCTGGACTGTGAGAGGCCCTGCTCTCTGGACTGGAGCCAACAGAAAGGGAGGCAGGGTGTAGCCTGGCTTCTGAAGCTTCAGAACTCCAGACTGAGCTCTGTGTGCCTGAAACATGACTGCATTCCCCTGGAATCTGTGTGTCTGGAGATGTTTTAGAGGACAAATGAACTATGGGAACTGTGTGATCATTTGTGTGGTTTGTTAGGACCCATTTGAATTTTTAATATTGATCTGAACTATGTCGAGGGAGAAAACTCTAGATCACTAAACCTTTTGGATGAGTTAGAATTTTCAAAGAACTGAGTCTTAATTAGTTCTACCTGTGTAATGAGGGATTTTTCTACTGAATGAAGCAGGAGTTGCTTCACTCCGCCCATGAACATTCATCTGGAATGCACCTCTCTCCCCAGGTCCGGATCATACCTTTGCAGTTGCAGCGCTTGTTTGCTCAGCTTCTGCTCCTGGATCAGGAGGCTGCATCAACCATAGATCTCACTGACAGCTTTGGGTGGACCAGTGATGAGGTAGGAAGGTGCCAACAGGAGGCTTCACGTTTTGTCTGATGTCCTTTAAGTTTGTCTCGGACTCATCATGTTGGAATGTCTTCACGCGTGAATAGTTACAAGGCATATGTGCATGTTTAGGTGCTTCTGAACATAGACCGTTACAACTGGCATGTCTTATAGTTGGGAAGAATGTTGTTGATAAAGGGAGAAATACAGGAATTGACTTTTGAAATTTGTACTCAGCGATTTTTATATAGTTTAGTTGAGCTTTAACCCTTCTTACATTGATGTTATTTACCGTGTAGATGTCAAACTGTTCATTAACTTTTCAATCTTCAGCAATAATGGATAAACTAGTGGATGTTTAGAATGTTGCCCACCTTTGTGATGTGCTTCTTGCTTGATATCGGCACTCTGATGAGAACGCACTGCAGTCAGATCAGTGCTTTGCCAGATCTTTTCACTTCGCTGTCCTGACCCCTAGCTTTTCATTTCCCCATTTTGACCCCTTACTTTTCATTTCCTCCACACTGACTCCTAACTTTTCATTTTCTTCTGGTATCTCCTGTAGGGCATGACTCATTTTTATTTGTATTCCTAAAAGGCATTCCACTACATACAAACAAACATCTATGGCAACTAAGGATCTTGGTGTCAAGGTCTTAGTGCTCATGGAATAGGTACATTCTGGCAAAACTCTCACCTGTGGCCTTCTAACTAGGAGCACTCCTTATTAATTCCATGATATTGCCCTCTGGGATCAAAGAAGTAGGGCTTGGACTTTGAAGCAGATAATAGCACATTCCCTAAAAAGCATGTTACATTTGAGGCACAGGACTGATGCTTGAGGTATATTCCTTTATCCTTCCTTCATTGAGATTTACATGCCATAAAAGTCAGTCTTTTAAAAAAGTATAGTTCAGTGGCTTTTAGTATTTTTACAGAATTGAGCAACCATCACATCAGATTGTTTGCACTTTTACTCTAAAAAGAATCCCCATCCACCTCCTTCTCTAGCTCTTGGTTAATCTAAAACCTGCTTTCTGTTGGTAGATCTGCCTGTTCCTGAATATTACATAGGAATAGAGTTATACACTATGTGATCTTTTGTACCTTGCATGTTTCACTTAAGATAATGTTAGGTTCATTCCTTGTTACTGTCTGGTGAGCCTCTGCTGTATGGATATGCCACTTTCAATGAAGACTTCTCTTTATATTTGAGCTTCCACTAAGTTGCTGGCTTCCTATTTTTTTTAATTTAATTTCTTTATAGGTTCTTTGGGAGTTTTACATTGTGCAACCCAATTCTTCTCACCTTCTGCTTCCCCCATATCCTCCCCACAAAAGAAAATTTTTAAAAAATTAAAACAAAGTAAGCAATCAAAAACAAGAACAGAATACCCCCCCCCCGCAAAAGCAACAATAGCAACAACAAAAAACCCTCTTCGTTCTTCTTTCCTGCCTCTCCAACACCTCTTTATTTGTCCCAAGGCATTGGGAACCTTGGCATCATATAGTATACCCTTTGTCCAATCAACTTTACTAGCAAATGTTCATTGCAGTGAGTCATGCTGAACTGGCCTAGGGAAAGGTGGCCTTGCCTCTCTGAACACTGCAGCAAGAGTGAACTGATCTTGAGGGAATGGGCGGCATAGGGGGCAGACTCTGTCCTCTCGCCTGAGGTAGGTGGCCTTAGTGGCCCAGACTGACCAACTCAACTACCACCCAGGCCCACAGCCTGGTTTTCTTTTTCCTTTTCTTTTTTTCTTTATGTGTGTGTGTGTGTGTGTTTTGAGACGGGTTTTTTTTTTTTTTTTTTTTTTTTTTGGTGTAGCCCTGGTTGTCATAGAATTCACTCTGTAGACCAGGCTATCCTTGAACTCACAAAGATCTGCCTGCCTCTGCCTCCCGAGTGCTGGGATTTAAGACATGCACCACCACCACCTGGCTGAAACACTTTTCTTAATTCTTTTATATTTTTTAAGTAAAGGGCTGAACCTGGGTGGTAGAAGGTCTCTGAGGTAACTTTGCCAAATAAATGGTTGCTTAGAAGCAGACCTTGAAGTTTTCCTCCGTTTTCAAACCAGTGATAGAAGACAGATTTACATCGCCTGGTATCTTATATTTTAAAGGGCAAGGAAAAGATCACCAACTTCATATTTTGCTTCAGCTTTCATCCCTTTTATCTGACACATGTCAAATAAACTTATTTTTATATTGTTCCCCTGGCTGCCTCTCTTTCTACACACTGAATTGTTCCTCTACCTCCTTTTCGCTTTCCATGGTGAAGGAAACAGTAACATCACTGTGCCAAGGCTGAAAGACACCTTGCTGTGTCTGTGACACTTTTATGTCAGTGGAATGGGTTCAGTAGCACTTGCTGTTCTGTTTAAGTCCCCAGCTCCTCCTGGTGCCTAAAGTCTTGGCCCCCAATTGCACCTTTCAATGCCCTCCTCTGCTTCCCGGTGATAGAGCACGTCTTGGAGGGGCAGATTGTTCTGAAAGACTAGTTCACACACCGTCAATGACTCAGAATGGGTTAAAGTTGAGAGTCAGTTTGAATTTTTCTCAGCAACACTACATTACTCTTTTTGTTGTTGTTGTTGATTTACACTTCCAAGTAGTCGGTTCTGATTTCTGCTGTCCCCAGGCATTGTGATCTAAGTGAGGTTTACCTGTGTACCACTGCTGGCTTCTACACTGTCTAAACCTCTTTCCTCTGTCTTCCTGTGACAGGGGCAGGTGGGTGTTCTCTCATAATTCAGAGTGAATTGTTTGTGCACACTAACCATTGCCTATTATATTTTTGTTTTGAAGTATAAATAAAAATAGGTGGGAATCTATACATCTATTCAAAGTTTTTCTTATATGTTTAATTGATAGCATTCTTAAAAAATCCATTCTTAAAAACTTGAAGCAAAAGTTATATTTAAAAGGCAGCTGATTTAGCTGCACATTGTGCCTATAATGCAAGCACTCAGACTCAAGCAGAAGATTGTAAACTCAGGGCAAGCCTTGGCAACCCAAAGACCTTGTCTCCAAACAAAAACTACTTTTTATTTTTTAGGAAATGAGACAACATGATGTGCAGGAACTGAATCGAATTCTCTTCAGTGCTTTGGAAACATCTTTAGTTGGGACCTCTGGCCATGACCTCATTAATCGTCTATACCATGGCACCATTGTGAACCAGATTGTTTGCAAAGAGTGTAAGAATATAAGTGAGAAGCAGGTGAGCAGACACAAGTTCCTCTGCTAACAAATTATTGTAAAGTATAATTCTTACAATGAAATCTGCTGTGCTCCTTCCACCACATAGTTTCTGGGGATTGAACTCAGTTGTCAGGCTTAGTGCTAGGGCCTTTTACCTACTGAGACATCTCCCCAGCCTGCAAATTCTTAAAACAGTTTTTATTCAGTTCTCATATATTCTGATATATGTTCTTAAGAAAGGTTTGAGGAGATGTTTACATGTAGACATCTCATGAAAGAAGCCAGTGTAAAGACAGTTCACTAAGGGACTCGAGAGATGCCCGGTGGTTGAGAATGCTTGCTGCTACTCTTCCAAAGGACTGTTGTTCCATTCTGAGTACCAATGTAAGGTTGCTCATAGCTGCCTGTAGCTCCATCTCCCAGGGATCTTCTGGGCTCTGCAGGCACTGGTAAACACATCTCACACACACACACACACACACACACACACACACACACACACACACACACACACAGAGAGAGAGAGAGAGAGAGAGAGAGAGAGAGAGAGAGAGAGAGAGAGAAAGAGAGAGAGAGAAGAAAGTTAAATTAGGGAGGTAATAAAAACAAGATATCAAAGAATATTTAACTAACGAATCTCCAAATATTAGGTTTAGTTTGCTAATATCCTTCAGGAAGTGTATTTGCAATGTATGCTTATATTTATATGATATGTAAACTGTCATTTAGAGCTGGTACAGTTCTGTTTGAATTATGACTTTCATTTCTTTGTGATAATATAGATTGCCAATTCAGTTTGATTGAGAATTTGTGTCAATGACATCATCTCTGTTGTTTTTAAAGTCCTTGTCAGCAAATGGCTTCATTACTGAATATTTAATGAACATCTCCTGTTATTATGGTAGGAGTCGTAGGAAGTTTTTTTATCTGATTGAATAGAAATTTTAATACCATTTTCCAAATGCATTTGTTGCTTTTTTTAGAAATAGATGCACATATATATTAATAAATATGTGTTAAATAGATCTATGGGTTTTTTCTTTTATTTATTTATTTATTTATTTATTTATTTATTGGGGTTCTTGAATTTGAGCTGAAGGCCTTACATAGATAGTTACAGGTGCTGGGCAAAGGCACTGCCACAAATTACAACTTCAGCCTTTTTATTTCTTAAGGAAGAGTTGGGAATAAAAGCAGTGTATCTGGCTTTTGTTCCTGTGCTAATAGAAGCTGTCTTGTTAGGCTAGTTTGAAAATAACTAAGATGTTCTGTGTGCCTCTGATCGAGCTCTAATGCATTGATTTACAAAGCAATGGTAAAACATGACATACAAAAAGCATATCAAAATTATAAACAGTAACTTTTATGTGCATATTGTTAACCTAAAGTATTAGTCCTGTTACTTAAGAGCTTTGCCATGAATTAAACTAGTGCTCTGCTGCTTTTCAGTCTTGATAATCCCTTGAAAGTCTTACTACATGCATGAACAGAATTAGAAATGTGATTTAAACTTGCAAAATTTTAACAGCATTTATTGCTAGAAATAAAATTCAAATGTAGTTTCAGTAGATTTAAGAGACTTTTTACAAAATGCCATCTTTTTAATTTTCATAGAAATACCTGTTTAATCTGGATCAAATTTTTTTCTTGTCATTTTCTCAACATATCTTAAACCAATATTAGCGAAAAAATGAGGAAGCTTACAGTAGAAAAATTCAACTCTGCTTGAGGGTTGCTATTATCATTTTAAAAATTAAAGCAGTGCTAATCAACTATGTGTGCAGGTGTGTGAATTTGCAAGTGTACATGTTTGTGTGCATGTGTACGTGTGTGTACATGTGTATGCTTGCATGTGTGTGCTATATGGGGTGTGTGTGTGTGATACTTAAACACAGGTATATATATTTTTTGCAATTCATTTTCTGGGGAAACATGAGGTTTCATTTCATATACATTTAAACTTATAAATATTTCTCTTTTAAAATGCTTTCTTAATGTACTTTAAGCAAAATTATAATTTGATTTAGAAAGAATAATTTAGTGATAAGAATTTACAATATATAATTATGGCATATATATCTTCTTATGTGCAAATAGAAAAATATATATTTGATCATTCTCAATAAATATTTTAGTTGTAAACTTCTGTGAAATCATTTGTTCTCTCAGTGTAATAATCTTTCATATTTCAGGAAGACTTCTTGGATCTGACAGTAGCAGTCAAAAACGTATCTGGTTTAGAAGATGCACTCTGGAACATGTATGTGGAAGAGGAAGTTTTTGATTGTGACAACCTGTACCACTGTGGAACCTGTGACCGACTGGTTAAAGCAACAAAGGTAACCATGCCTTCCTTCCCTTTGTTTCTGGAGACAGGAAGGTTTGCCAGATCTAGTCACCTGTGCGAAGTCAGGAAGATACACTTAGCTGCTTTGAATACTACAGATTGAGAAGATGTTTATGTCATTACCTGTCTTTTAATTTTTAGCAGAAAAAGTTAAGCTTTATTAACCTAACAACTACTTTCATGGGAAACTGTATTTGAGCCTTCGTTCAGTATGCCTGTTATTAAGTGTCAGGAATGCTTATCTAAGTTTGTCTTCCTCCCTCTCCTTGTGAACAGCAAGTCAAGGACACTAGATGAGAGTGGCTGATGTCTTCTCAGTCTGAGCTGAGACAGAAAGTGAACTTAGTGACCTGTATGGAACTCTGTTCAGATTCAGGTCTGTTCATTGTGGCCATGTATCCCTGTAGGTTTAGTTACTCTGTATTCCAGAGAGACAAAAATCTCCAACAAAAATTAGAAAGGGCTACCACTTGGATGAATGCACTGCTCTCTGTTATGTCCATACATTATGTATTTTGTTCATTGCACAATTGTGATGCTACTCTGTTTTGAGATGGCAATACCTCAGAAACTGAAAACTGGCCTCATACTGGTTACTGTGTTGTGTCAGCTGCAGGAAGGGTTCTCTACCTACCCTAGTTTATCTACTTATTCTCCTGGAGTCTGACCTATGTATGGCTGTCTTCAGAAGGCAGATTTGGAAAACCTTTTTGAGTTTTTTTTTCTCCTTTATCTTCTAGCAACCAAGTATATTTCTTTTTCAACATCCTTTCTCAGCTGTATGTGATTTCTGTGTGAAATTGGTTTTTAGTGTATTTTACATGGTTAAACAAAAGCTAGTGTTATCAGATTTGCTAAGTATTAGTAATTCTTTAATATTAATATAGATGAAGGGTGTGTGTGTGAGAGAGAGAGAGAGAAAGAGAGAGAGAGAGAGAGAGAGAGATTAATAAATGTTCCATTTCTCTGACTTGGATGTGCCACTTGGTATACCTCTCTGACCTTCTTCTCAGCTCCTCCTCTACCTGTGACCAACATGGCACTTTTTTCTTAGCCATATTGAGTTAAGTTTCTTGTTTAGTTTAGGTGCATCTTTGGAATGAGTTTAGAAATCTCCATCTTATAATGCATACCTTTTTTTCTTTTGTTTTTAAACAGTCTTGCTGTGTAGCCCAAACTGTCCAAGAACTTGCTCTATAGCCCAGGTTACCTTCAGACTCTCATTCCTCCTCCTTCTAAATTCTGTATTATAAGTGTATAATACTATTCCTAGCCTTATTTCACCTTTTTTTCACTCATATAATATATGAAATGTAACTTTAAAGTTTATTAATATTAAACATATATAACTATTGATTATTTTCTGCTGAGAAACATTTTTCTTCCCTAAGGCCACCAGTGTTCTTTCACTGTAACTAGTATTTTGTTTTAAAGTGGGGAATTAAAACAGCAACAAGGTATATAGTTTTGAATTTAAGAAACAACAGATGGGAACTGAAGACGTGGTTTAGTGGTTAAGAGCACCGGTTACTCTCCCAGAGGACTAGAATAGATTCCCAGGACCCGCACAGTGACTCCCAACCATTTGTAACTCCATTCCCAGGGAATCAGGCAAAATAAAAATAAATCTTAAAAGAAACAATAGTAAAACCCCATCAGTAGGTCTTGAATCCTGGAGAGTCAGGAGTCCCTTTTCAGTCTAATGACAACTACGACCCTTCTCTCCAGAAAAAAAAAAAAAAATACATGTACAATTTTGAATCATTCAGAGTTCTAGATCTTCACTGAATAAGATCTGTGTGTTTGCTAAGTGGAGCAAAGATCCAAAGAACAAGGTGAAAGGCCAAGAACTAGGCAGGAAATGAATAATGAAAAGAGAAGGAGCACCCAGTTAGGACACACTCATCAAATAGTAATTTTGGATAACAACCCTAAAAGCATAAAACTGGGGCTTGTAAATGTTTTTGTTGTATGCATAATTGTGCATTACCATCCTTAGTTCCATAAAGTAAATGAGTTTATATTGAACTTAGAATATGCTTGTGTGATTTAAGTTCATATTGAATTCAGTATGTGTTTATATGATTTAAGGATATATTTATAACTGTGTCATATGTCATTTTTTGCTATTTTACATAGCATTATGTAGCCTCTCGTTTAACTGCATTTTTAAAACTTTGTTAATTTTTCTTTTTACAGTCTGCCAAATTACGTAAGCTGCCTCCTTTTCTTACTATTTCATTACTAAGATTTAATTTCGATTTTGTGAAATGTGAACGCTACAAGGAAACTAGCTGTTATACGTTCCCCCTCCGGATCAATCTCAAGCCTTTTTGTGAACAGGTTTGAACCTTTGAATTCTTTCCCTTCCCTTCCAAGACTAAAATGCTCAGTATGATTTCTTAACCATGTTCCTATTAATATTTTGACTTAAATAATTCTTTGTCATGGTGACTGTCCCCTGAATTGTATAATGTGTATGCACCCCTACTCAATAGACAAGCCAGAATATCTTCAGACATGGCCAAAGTCCACATCTCCTAGGAGGAGGGAGTGGTCCAAATCAGTTTTTTTTATACTTCTTTTGAGTTTCTTCTTTTGTTCTTTCTTTTTTGAAACAGGATCTTTTACAGCCTTGAACTGTACCAACTACCAGGCTAGCCTTGAACTCTACCTCTCTCTTGTGGGTACTAAGTTTACAGCCGTGTGGTACCATGCCTTACCGTCCCTTTTTGAATATCTAAAGTATGGATTTATTCTCAGTTTTCTTTGTTAAACTCTTATTAAACCATCTTTAAAATGAAAATTTATAAACCAAACCATAAATTACCTACTTTAAGAAAAATAACCAGTAATGTTGTTACTTTGCTGTTTGAATTATTTTAATTTGGGTGTAGTAAAGAGTTCATATCTAGAACTTGTACAGGCAAATGGAATGTTCCTGGAGTTTATAAGGGCAGGATACAGCTACTATAGAGCACTTGCCTGGCAGAGCAAGAACATGGCTCCATCTGTAGTGTCACCAAACAGCAGCAGCAGAGAAATGGAATCCTTAAGACATAGGAAAGAAAATATTTTATAATCAAATTAATTATGAAATTAGACTACTTTATAAGGCATTTAAAATATTTTATGTCACTCTTATACATGCCAAAATCAGAGTGAGGACTCATGTATTTCTTTTTTTTAAATAAATTTTATTACTAAAAAAACTTGCAAATAAAAAAAAGTCACAGACTGAAATTAACCAGACCCAAAATCTACACAGCTCAGTGAACATCCATGCAAATAGCCATTCTGAAGCTGTGGAGCTTCACGTTGGATTTTATACGTTCACCATCACTATCAAGTATATTTTTATGAACCTGTCTACCACCAGAAATGAAAAGACCATGACAGAATTAGAACTGAAAAAATAATTAACCTTATAACCTCTTTCATAATTCATATCCATTGCCTAGGCCCAGTTCTTCCTCATCCTATTGTATTCAGCCTTTCTTCTCTTTTCTACATGTTACACTGAAACCACATGATCATGCTATTGATTTGGCATATATCCACATAGAGGGATACCATGTGGGATTTTTCTTGCTAAAATTATATATTTTTGCTTGATATTATACATTCTAAGTCCACCCATTTTTCTGCAGATTTTGCTATTACATTCTCTTTAGAGCTGTTGAATAATATTCATATGTATGTATATATATATGTATATATGTATTATATATGTGTGTATATTCATATATAATCCAGTATATATATATACATTTATGTACACACATACATATATACCAAATTTCCATTATCCACATTTATGTACACACATACATATATACCAAATTTCCATTATCCACTTATCTGTTAATGACATCTAGATTGATTGATTGTGATTTTTTTGTTATAGTGAAAAAAGCAGTAATAAACATGAGTATGTAAATATTTCAATAGTAAATATCCTGGCTAGTTTTTATGTCAACTTGACACAAGCTAATATCATCTGAGAGCAAACTCAGTTGAGAAATTGCCTCCACAAGATCTGACTGCAGACAAGCCTGTAGGGCAGTTTCTTAGTGATTGATGTAGAAGGACCCAGCCCATTGTAGGTAGTGCCACCCATGGGGTGGTGGTCCTGGTTCTGTGAGAAAGCAGGCTGAGCAAGCCATCAGCAAACAAGTAAGCGGCCTTTTTCTTTGCCTCTGCATCAGCTCCTGCCTCCAGGTTCCCATCAGGTTCAAGTTCCTGCGTTGGCTTCCCTTAGTGGACCATGACTCCAGATATGTAAGCCAAATAAGCACTTTACTCCCCAAGATGCTTTTGGTTATGGTGTTTCATTACAGTAACAGTTACCCTAAGATGGAAATTGGTACCAGAATTGTAGGTCTGCTGTGGCAGACCTGACCATGTTGTTTTGGGGACCTGACCATGTTGTTTTGGGGAGGATTGTGAAAGAAAGGACTTTGGAACTTGGGCTAGAAAAATCGTTGAGTGTTGAGATCTCTGTGGGCTTTTCTGTTGAAGCTTGGAAGATAATATTGAGAACAGTGCAGATGGAGGCTTGGCTTGTAAAGTTCAGGGGGGCTTTTAAAGACTCTATCCTGGCGGCTGGCTGTTTTGAATTAAGAGTCTGTGGTTGTGGTCATCTGGGGCTGAAAAGTCAGCATGATTAAACCACCAAAGTGAAACTTGCTTTACTGGGACAATTGATACTGGTCAGCTGGAGCTGAGTAATTAGCAATGATTAAGAAGAGACCAGCATCATTTGGATGAAATCTTCTGGGAAGTGTTTCTTTCAGTCAGCACACAGAAACTGTGTTCCAAAGGCAGCCAAAGTTGTACCTTGAACTGGCAGCTGAATTTAGTATTATGTAAGAGTCTCCCAGATGTACTTGTTTTGAAAGCGTGAAGGGAGAGCAGCTGAGGCTTGGTACTCTGAGAGGTCAAGAAAGGTCATTGGTGAAGGTACAGCCTCTGGAACTGCAGTAGCAGTTGAAACCCCAGCATTGAAAGGGTCATGGAGGGAAGTTAAGGCAGGAGCCATGGAGTGGGACTAACCTGAGCCTAGAAGACAGTCTGTGTGAGCTGAAGAAGGTCAATCTAGAGAGGTGACCCAGTCCCTTTGGGGGAGCCTCGATCATGAGTGTATCCCAGGCATTGAGCTCTGAGTTGTTTACACTGTTCAAGTTAGTTTAGCAGTCCAGATGTGACTGTGCCCTGCTTCTTCCCTCTTGAAGTAAGAAAGTGCTTATTTTTTTTATTTTACAGGAGCCCACAGTTGAGAGACTCTAAACTATTAAAGATCCCTTGGATTTTTAAGAGTTTGAATATTTTAAAGACACTGATTTTTGAAGTGTTTGAATTTTTAAAAACTATGGTGCTTTTAAAAGTTGGAATGTTTTATAGTGTGATGTTTATTAATATGTGATCTTGGAGATGAACAAGAAAGGAAAGAGTATGGTTAAATAGTATTGTATTGGTATGTCAAGTTGTATTGGTATGTCAATTGTTTTTAATGTCAACTTGACACACCTAGTATCATCTGAGAGCAGGGAACCTCAATTGAGAAAATGCCTCTATAAGATCTTGCTACAGGTAAGCCTGTAGGGCAATTTCTTAATTAGTGATTCATTTAGAAGAACCCAGCCCATTATGGGTGGTTCCACCTGTGGCCTGGTGGTCCTGGGTTCTATAAGAAAATAGTGGAGCAGAACCAGTAAGCAGCACCCTTTCATGGCCTCAGCATCAGCTCCTGACTTGTCCCTCTCTGTTTGAATTCCTGCCCTGGTTTCCCTCAGTGGATTATGACTCCAGATATGTAAGACAAATAAACCCTTTCCTCCCCAAGTTGTTTTTGTTATGGTGCTTCATCACAGCAGTAAGAACGCTGACTAAGGCAGTTCTCTGGATATATTACATACCCAGGTGTGAAGAAGCTGGGTTGTATGGTAGTTATGTTTTTAATTTTTTGAGAAATCTCCAAACTGATTTCCACAGTGGCTGTATTAATGTACTCCTCCAACAACATTTCTTTCCACAGCCTCACCTGTATTCGTTGTCACATTTATTGAGAGCCATTCTGATTGTGGTCAAGTGGTATACCTCAGAGTAGTTTTAATTTGCATTTCCCTGATGGCTAGGGTTATTGAGCACTTTTTAAAGTAGTTATTGGTCATTCATCCATCTCTTTTTCTTTCTTCCTTTCTTTCTTCTTCTTTTTGAAAACTGTCTATTAAATTTGTCTGCTTTTGTTGGCAGTTTTTATTGGCATTAAGGTCTCATTTCTTGGTAAATTCTGGATATCAGGCCCTTGTCTGAGTGTAACTATGAAGCTGTGAAAGCCTTTCTTCCATCCTGTGCGCTGTCTGCTGATTGTGTCTTTGCTGTACAGAAACCTTTATTTTCATGTAGTCTCAGTTTTTGATACTGGATTATTTCTTGTGTATTGGTATTCTATTCAGAAAGTGATTTGCCTTCTCCATTATCCTGAACGGTGTCCCCTATGTTCTAGAGATTTCAGGGTTGTAGGCTTTAAATTAAGGTTGTGATCCATTTTGAATAGATTTTTGTACAAGGTAAAAGATTAAAATCTAACTTCATCTTCTGAAGTAGAAACCCAGTTTTGCTAGCACCATTGTTGAATTAGCTGCCTTTTATCCAGTGTATGTTTGTCAAAAATTAAGTGGGCATAGATTTGTCATTTTGTTTCCAGGTTCTCTACTTTTCCCATCATTCTACCTATTTCTTATTACAAGTAATTGTTTTGTTTACAAAATCCAGCTATTGAATTTCTGTACTGAAAAAAATATGTGTATTTTTTTTAACTTCATAGCTGAGCCTTGCTCTACTCTGGGTCTCACTACTGAGCTCTGTGCTGTTTGTTTTGTTACATGAGTTACCATCCCTAGGGTCTAGTAGTGCCTGCTGGCTCTGAGCCTGTTACTGACACACGCAGAAAAAAAATATTTTCCTAGAGCTACTAATATACTCTTTTCTTTTTTTATAAAAGGTAGTTTGTAACATGATTCCAACATACTTTGATATATCAAAAAACCAGGCACTTATCTAGGAAATTCACATTAATTAATTTTACTTTTGATTTTCTATATTGAGAAAAAGTGGTCATTTTTTATCTTTCTGTGTCTTATCTTTTGCCTGGATGAGACATTTTTAAATAATGCCCACTAAAAACCTGTAGTTAAGGAAATAAATTCTTCCCATGTACACATTGTACATTGCAGGTGACACTGAGTTCAAAGCCGGATGAGACCTTATGTTTCATATTATGTGGTTCACACTCCTAGGCTTCTTTCCCTGTCTGCCTCCTTCCCTCCCTTCCCTTGGTCTCTCCCTCCTCTCTGTTTTCTTTCTCTTTCTTTTCTTCCTTTTTTGTTGTTGTTTTTATAGACAGAGCCTCATGTAGTCCAAGCTAGCATAAAACCTACTGTGTAGCTAAGAATGATCTCCCAAGTACTGGAATTGCAGAAGTACACCATCTTAGCTGCCTTTTTCTTTTCCTTCTGTATCTAGAATTTAAAGCATCTCTTAAATATAATATATTTTTTTCATTGTTACTGTAGGAGATGACCTGTTGGGTCACTTGTGATTGATTGTACAGTCTATTAATTATAGAATAAATTGATCATACAATTAGTAAAGCAAGAAGGAACCTGTTTATTCCACTAAACTAACAGCCTCTGGAGGGCCTTGACCCGGAGGTACACAGCAACCTTCTTGGGATATCAGAGAGTTTGCGTAGGAAAAGAGCATATGTTCTAAACAGCATAGTGGGTATGACACAAAGATGGTTTTCTCTACTAACAGTCTCTATCACAAACTCATTATCTTAGTTAATGATACATCTTCAGATACGTGTATTCAGTGTGGTATAATTGGCAATAAATCTCTAAGTTAAGACTTAAAATTCAACTGTGCATAGTGGTTCATGCCTGTAATGTTAACATATAAGATGGTGAAGCAGGAGGATCTCCAGGAATTTGAGGCCATCCTCAAAGAAATGAAAAGCTTTTCTTTTTTAATTTAAGCCCAAATTGTTTAAATTTTTCTTTATCCTTAGATAGCATTCTAATCAGGAGACTCAGCAGCAAAGGGGCCTACTGTGAAGTGTGAATACTAAAGGGTGCTTCTTACTAGTTTCAGGGTCCAGAGTTCTCTTCCCTTTGATTATGTATCTCACCTTATTAAACTATGCCAATGTTTATTTTTCTTCTTTTAGAGTGAACTGGATGACATGGAATATATGTATGACCTCTTCTCCGTCATTATCCACAAAGGTGGCTGCTATGGAGGTCATTACCATGTGTACATTAAAGATGTTGATCATCTAGGAAACTGGCAATGTCAAGTAAGCTTACAATTTTTTTTTATAAATAGCTGTAATTCCATTGCATTTCTGTTTCTGTTACAGTATTCTGATTATTTTGCCTTTAGTATATACCCCTCATTTCCTAAAGGTTCATTTTACGTGTGCCCTCTACCTAGAGTCTCCAGTTGTTTTCCTTTTGTCATATTTGTGCATGTAACATATACTCCTACACACTAGTGACCTCACTGTAGTGAACAATTTATAATAAAGCTGAGAGCATCTGACCGCTTTGCTTGTAAATGCTTCATGTTTGTTTTCTCAGCACAAGAATATTCTCTTCCCTAGCCATCCATAAAAATCACAGACCTTTAAATTTGTCTGTTACAGTCTTTTTCAGGAGCACCAGACCTTGCTCTGGTCTGAAAGGTGCACCTGCATCTGAGCCAGTCCAGCCTGAGGGAGCCTGTCTCTGTTTTCCTCGTGTAGTTTTGCTCAGCTGCTTTCAGGGTTGTATCATTTTTTCAGCTGGCAGCCAATTGAATCATAAAATATTTGCATGATATTTTATTTTCAGGTTTAATGGTTCTTCTGTCTTCCCTTAGGGTTGTGGGTTCTAGAAGATGTCTTTAAATTTTGTGTTGATCTCTTCAGCAGTGACTTGCTCTTCTATAGAAATGTTAGCATCTTCTGCTGTTAGTGTGACTTGAAGGAACAGGTTTTGTGTTCTCTTTATTGCCTATCTGGTGTTTTGATTTTGTATTTTCTGTCTGTCTTTCTGTCTATTTGACACTGTCTTACTTTGCAGTCCATGGTATCTTGTAGCTGACACTCATCCTGCCTGTCTCCAAGTGCTGAGACTTCAGGCATAGGGGTGGACTGTCACACCCAGTTCCTTATCTTTTGAAGTCCTGTCTCCTCACAAAATCAAGGGATTCTGAAGAAAGTGAGCATGGTGGCACACACCTGTAAGTCTAGCACTTGAAATGCCAAGGCAAGAGAATCACCATGAGTTTGAGACCAATCTGGGCTACAGGGAGTTTCAGGCAAGCCTGATCTACAGCGTAAGACCCTGTCTCAATTCAAACCAAAGAGAATAAGCAGAATATGAATTTTTGTAAGTGCTTGGTATGTTTTCTTTTTCTTTTTCTGTTTTTGGTTTTTTGGGACACTTTCTCTTTGTAGCCCTGGCTGTCCTAGAACTCGCTCTGTAGATCAGGACAAATCTTTTGAGACTGACTCAACAGGTGGGTTCTTTTACCATCTAGCTAGTGTCAGAATTGAGTGGAGATGTAGGACATTCAGTTGGTGCTTAAGGATTGGAGGACTGGTTGTTTGAAAATTTGGTCCCTTTTCTCCCTGTTTTGAGTCAGCCCTGGGCTTTCTTCCCTGAAGCTGTTCTTAATGAGCATTGAAATGGAAACTGTATTAGATATTGTCCTGATGCTGTGGTAAAATGTCTGGCCAAGGGAGAAACCCTTCATTTTGGTGTGCAGTTACAGAGTCCAGTGCATCTTGGCAGGGAGGTCATGGAGTCAAGAGTTCAAGGATACAGCTGGTCACAGTACATCTTGGATCAGGAAGCAAAGGGAGATGAATGCTTGTATTCAGTGCATGCTCCCCTGTTAGGATCCCAGCCCAGAGAATGGTGCCACAGTGAGTGAGCCATCCCACCTCAATAAATCCAAGCAAGATCATTCCTCACAGGTGTGCCCAGAGATTTTAGAATTTGTCAAGTTAACGATTAAAATTATTATTTTGTATACTTACTAAAAAATCACCTTAAAAAGAAAAAGATGCTTTCATTTCATCTACTTTATCATAGATGCTTTTATTTCATCTACTTTGTCATTTTTAATGATTTACAAAAGATGATAGATCTGGTCTGCCATAATATGTTATTTCTTATTTACTTTTTCTTAATGTTATTAATTAGCAGTTATAGTTTTAGCTAGTTTAAAATACCTTTTCATTAGACTGGAGAAATGGCTCAGCTTGCTGCTCTGAAAAAGTACCTGAGTTCAGTTCCAAGCACTTCCATGACAGCACACAACCATCTGTAACTCCAGTTCCAAGGAATCTAACACCATCTTCAGGTCTCTGAGAGCACCAGGGGCACATTAAGTACACAGATAAGCACTCATACATAAAATTAAATTTGAAAAATATTTTTTTAAAAAATTAGAAATCTAAAAAAGTTATACTTTACCAAAAAACAAAAAGCACACAAAACAAAAAACTTGCAGAGCTGATGACTTTGATCCCAGCACTTTTAAGGCAGAAGCAAGTGGATCTCTGAGTTCAAGACCAACTCGGGCTAAGTAGTGAGACCATTTCAAAACCAAAATAGAAACAAAACAAAAAAAATACTTTTTCAAGGTGGTATATGTATTTTGGGGTTTTGTTTTGTTTTGTTTTGTTTTTGTTTTTCAAGACAGGGTTTCTCTGTGTTGTCCTGGATGTCCTAGAACTCGTTCTGTAGACTAGGCTGGCCCAAAACTAGAAATCTGCCTTCCTCTTCTTAGTGTTGGAATTAAAGGAGTGTGCCACCACTGTCCAACTATATGTATGTTTTTTAAAGTCAACAAAATTTACCTAGCAAGGGGAATGTGTACAGCCTGAGCTGTTAACTTTTTAATGATAAGGAAATAGAAGTCAGTGTTT